CATACATATTGTGCGCAACTATTTGTGTATGTGCATGTACAAATATATTTTTTTTGCCTTTTTCCTTAACTATTTCATTATATATAAATATAAACCTATGCTTTGCTGTAAGTCATAAATTTTTTTATAAAAAAAAAAAAAACACTAAGTATGCAGCCTATTTCAATATATTTTTTTACATAAAAAAATTAAAGTGTAAATTAAAAATTTTATTCAAACATCTAATCAAATAAATTGATAATCATCTATATAAATAAACAAAAAAATTATTAACAACAACTTAAAAAATACTGAAAAAATTAAGAGATGGTTGTAGATCAAAATGCTTGCTCTCACAAAATGAGACATTTACTTGTTTGTGTCTACTAATTTGTTTATTAAAATTAATAAAAGATAATAAAAATAAAAATACATATGAAATTGAGTGAATAAAATAAAAAGAAAATAAATATTATAAAAGGCTGGATATATTAGAATTATTATTTCAAAATAAATATTTTTTATAAAATAAATCATATCTTTATAAAATAAAAAGAAATTCTTTAAAAATTAAATACAAAACTAAACAATTTTTTAAAAAAGCCTCTATCCAAAAAAGACATGCAAAATTCATGATTTAGGTCATGATACTGAAATAAATCAATTTAAAAAAAAATTAAAGATAACTACAAAACAAACTTTTTATATAAACAAATAATGTAGAATGATAAAATCATAAAAAAATAAGAAAAAAAAATTTCTAACCAGATTAAATCATAAATCTCGTGACTCGTGTTATTAGATCAGAAACATGACAAACAAAAAAAATCATGATGCCCAACCCCAAACAAATCAGATATTGAAGAATGAAACCGAAAAAAAAATCAATCAAATAAAAAGCTATAATTAAAAGAATAAAGGTGAAAATAAAAAAAATTAAAAAAATTATAATTAAAGGAGGGTAAAATTGAAAAGAAAAGAACTTTAACAAAAGGAAAAAGAAATCAAAAGAATGAGTGCTAAATTGAAAAAAAAAAAAAAAACAACATGAACTTTGATTGAATGACAAAATCAAAAACCAAAAGAATAAGGAGCGAATTGAAGAAAAAAAATATGGCACATTATAATTTAAGGACTAAATTAAAAATATAAAAAAAAAAAACTTCTTTCAAGGGCCAAGAATGAAAATACGCAATAAAAAAAAAGCTAATTAAAAAAAAAAACAAAAGAGAATAGACATGCATTTTTTAAAACAACAAATGACAACAAACTATTTATCATCCATCATTATGCGTTATACAAAGAGAAAAAGATTGAGTCAGAGCTTTTAAAGATATGAAAGAACAAAAAATTTAACCATCAAGAGATATCACACGCATTGCTCAAAAATAATAAATGTGAACAAAAAATCATGAGTGCTTTCCTCGCACTAACACGTGAAGCCCAAACTCCTAAAACTTTTTGATTTAAAAGTTAATTATTAAATGTAAAATTTTCAAAATATTTTCTATTATTATGAAATTAATCAAAATATCCTTCTAGTAAGATAAAATATCTTATCACCCCTAAACACTTGCTTTAAACTTTTCCTAGTACAAGAGCAAAAAAATTATTTTAATATTTTGTAAGAACCAGAAAACAGATATACCCTTGCCTCACAGTTCAATAATTTTCTAGACATAAACAAGTACTTTAACTATTCAAAAAAGTTAAAAATACAAAAATAACCTTTGAAGAATTTTTAATTACCAATTTATCATCAGAAAATATCACATCATCTTCAAAATTAAGACACTTGAATTTTCTTCAAATGACAAAATCATATTTTAACCATCACAATGAATAGTTTTTTTTGTGTCCATGTTAATATATTTTCTAAAATGTTTAACCAGCACGTTTTATTGTTTTCTGTTGATGTACGCATACATGTGTGAGAAACAAAAGGTATTAAAA